TAATCGTCCAGGGCCCCAGGCCAGGCAGAGTTTGTGTGCAGAATGCAGAATCTCTATTGCCAATGCTCATGACTACTCAGAAAAGAAAAGTAGTCTCTCTGGGCAGCTGAGTACAAGATCCCACCAAAGGGGAAAGGCAAGGAGCACTGATGCAGAGACAGATGGTAACAGGAGGCACAGCAGGGAAGAGATTCAAACTGAGAGGATATACCTTAGAGGAATGGGAAGAGAAGATCTGAAGAGGAGAGAGAAACAACTGGAAAAAAGCTGGAAAGACAGAGGAAAAACATTGAGAGAAATCATATCTGACCTACCAAGTTGCTGGCTTTTTTGGTATAGAACACTTCCGTTTCTCTCTCCTGTCCCTGATGAGCTTGTCTGAGGTCAGTAATTCTTCACACAAAAGAACCAGTTCTTCTAATGGAATATAGAAGCAGCACACAATATTTTTTTTTCTTGTAGAAAGCCACAAATAGGCAAGAAAATAGGGAAGGCGAAATTCTTGATATGCTCAGAGGAAAATCTTCATTATCCTTATCTTTGGGACACGTCCCCACAGTGAAAATAATAAGTGTAGAATTTCTCTCATTTGATCCTAAGCCCTGTCACTTAAACCTCTCTTCATTTATTTCTCATTGTACATCTATCTACAGTACTAAAGCAACATGAAAATGAGTGATTTTCAGATCTAGTCTTTTAGAATGACATCTATATGTAGAATGCCAATGTGTTGGCCAGTGGAACCTGGCAATCTAAGAGACATCTGGCCAATGACTGTATTCCCTGAAGTCACAGCCTCAAGCCAGATTTTAACTCATTGTCTAAGTAAAGTTAACTTCTAAGCCACAGGGAATTCTTTAGCATGTGGGACTCTAGGATCTTCTGGGTTGACACAGTATTTTTAACTCTTGGATGAATGTTCCTGAGGGTCTGTTGCCCCTCAGAAAGGAGGCAGAGCTGGAGAATTTCCGCATTTGATACTTACTGGCTGGAAACCTTGAGTGTGAATTCCTGGGAGTTGTTCTGTGTACTATTCCTTGTTTCCGTAGATTTTCCTGTGGTCACTTGAGCTGCATTTCTGAACATAAACAATTTGATGATAAAATGAGTGAAACAACTGAAGAAAGAAAATTTTTTATGTGGATATTGTATTGGAGGAGTCTGTGAACCCTCAACCTATACAATGGGCCTGAAAAGGGCTAATGTGAAGACCGGCTTGAAGCTAACACACCTTTTCAGGTGCAGTTTTATCTCCAGATGAATTATCAAGAAAAAAATGCAACTACATGGTCAGCATAAAATAAATTTCTAGAATTATTTTTGACATGACTGTTTTGATGGCAGAAATGTCAAAATGCATTTTATATGATTCGTACATAGATCCATACATAATAATTAACACATAGAAGACCAGGTTACTGCATTACTTAAGAGAGAGAATGGAAGGTTAATTTTTTAAATATTAGCTAAAGAAACTTATATTTTCTTCCCTATCAATTCTTGGTACTGAGACATAGACCGGAGATTCTCAGTAAAATAAGATACACTTCTTGCTCCTGAAAAACTTACAATCTAGGCAGGAGTCTGACACACATCTCTAAAATGTTCTTCTTCATGAGAATAAATTCAGTCCCAATCTGCTGACTGTCTGACTTTATCTGATAGTATTGACTGAATGGATTAGCTCAAAATTTTTTCTATAAGTGGTCTTTTTAAAAAGTGCTGCCTTGCTGTGAATTTTACGTTATGTGATGATTATTAAGCTTTGGAGATGGGTACCACCTTTGTAAAGTGTGCTATGCAAAAGGGCGATTCCTCTACAATCATTTTGGAAACTTTCAAAGGATTGAACTTGCTTACAGCATTGGTCTAGTCCAACCAGGCCTGTTGAGTGAAGAACTGGCTCATAAGAACCTGGGAGGCATGTTTTGGAATATTGATGTAGTCATCTTCAGAGATGACCCAGTTCAACTTCTGTTCAAGTTATTCAAATAAATATCTTGGATCTAGAGAGAAGAAGAGAGACTGGCTCTAAGTTATACAGAATTTATGACCGAGCTAGGACAACATTTTCTTACATTTTTCTTTCTAATTTTCAATATGCCCATTATATGCAAAGAACTATGCACAACATTTAGCTGCCTCCAGGTTTAACTCTGACACATTTGGATGTATAAAACTAGTCAAACATTTATAATGTTTTATTGTTATTGGTAAATATCACACTGATAGACATTAGAAGAAAGAGTGAAAGATTAGGTAAATATTTGAAACAGAATAGAGAACATGTATGAGATATATAAACATATACACACAGACATATACATATATCTTTCAGTATATATATTATCCTTATCACACAAAAAATTATCTTTATCACAATTAAGATACTGACGATAACGTCTGAAGTCTTCCTTAGATAGTAGATTTTGATAAAACTATTTGATTCGTAGACTTGAATAAACTCACAATGGGCACAAAGTCTTGATGGCTTATGTGTATACTAATGAGAGTTTAGTCAGAAGTCCTATCTAAATATTTGCAGTTACCATTTTATAATAAAATGTTAAACTACTGTATTAAGAAAACTGAAACTGGATTATAGATAGTGTAAAATTTTGCTTTAATAGCACTTTTTAATTCATTTGTTAATAGTTCTGCACTTTGTATATAGTTAGAGAATTTAACTTCTATTTAGAAACATAAAGATATATTTTCTGATTCATATATGTGAAAGCAATTTATTTTCCTATTTCCTGTGCCTGCCAGAATATTGCCCTGGGCTTCTGCTTATCAAAAGGCATTTTAAAAGCCCAGAACGAGCTACAAACATAATTATGACAATGATTATGGGAAAGTCGCTGGTCTACAGAGATTTTGGTCATCTAATGAGGGTCATATGTATGACAGGGCAGTGATGGAGCAATGTGCTTATGTACTGAAATGGCAGTGTGCCAAATGCAATATTGATGTAGACAGAAGACACCTCTTACCCACCATGCTTGAAGATGAGTGGTCAGGTGGACAATTTGAATAAGTTAAAATATATGAAAATAGCATAATTCTTCTGTAAAAAATCATGAATTTAGTGATTCGAAACTGAAATCCATTAGATATGAGACTCTAGAGGTAGATTATCAGTGGTTTTATATTTCA